TGTTTGTAGGATTGGTGGCCACTGTAATCACTATGAATCTCAGATGCTTTTGCCTGTATTCAATAGACAATTAAAATATGTGCTAGCTTTTCTTGGTACCTAGTATTTCTTGGAAGTCTCTGCATACAAAACCTTTCCTTCCTAAACAAAGCATCCATTATAGGAAATAACATTTCTCAAGATAAGGTTTCTTACTTGCTTTGGAAATGGCTGCAAAGTATAAAGTATAACTTATTTTCTGAGTATTGATTTTAAAATTTAATTAGATTCCATTGAATTAGGCTTTGGTTGTATTTTTATTTTATAACATTCTTAATTGGTTTGGAAGAGTTTAAGTTTGTATAGCCGAAATATTCAGATTTATCCATGTTCTCCTGAGAAATAGAAGCTCTATATTAGTTTTATCTGCAATTAAAACAAGGATATTATTGCTAACATATAAAGTAAAATCAAATTTAACACACAAGTTAGAAGAAGATTTCAGGCAAAACCTTAAGATCCAGTATTAATATGCTTATGTGGTTTTGCTGTGGGTTTTTTTTTTCTTATTATACAGCAATTCTCCTTAATTCCTTGAAGGAAAATAAAAGACTTTTCTTGTATTGGAACAAAGTAATATTGTGATAATATATTTAATCTAATGTGAGTCTACCAAACATCAAGGTTGGTAAAATAATGCATAGCTCAGAAAATCGATGATGGTAAACAATAAAATCAGTTAAGATCGGAGTAGAGTTTAACAGAGTTCATAGAGTTTTCAAAAATTCAATCTTGAAGACTATGTGCACTGTAATATTACTAGAAATTAAATAACTGGATGGAAAATTGCTGAGAAATCGTGGCTACAAATCAGATACTAAAATTTGGAAACAGCTATTTGAGTTTCTTCTTTAATCAAAACTTAGTTGGAACCTTTGTCTCTCCAATTAGCTGAGAGCTGTCAGCTGCTAGCATGCTCACGGCCTCAAATGTAAACGTCCTGGCTGTGCAGCCCAGCCCTTTGTCACTGCTGTGTTCTGGCCTTACACTGAGGGAGGGCGGATTCGTGGCTGTCAAGAAATTAATCCCACCGTAAATCCTCAGTAACACACAGTTAACAAAGAGAGAGCTGAATTAGATTCTGTGACTTCATTGTTTGTATTAATATTGAACAATCTTATTAGAACTATCATTGTGTGGTCAGAAAGGCAAGTGCACAATTATGTACAATTTGTTAGGTACCAAGATGGCTAAAGGAAGCAGAGCTGCAGAATCAGGAATTTAAGACCAAAGTAATATCTTGGTAAACCATCACTTAAATAGAAATTATGATTGTTCATTGAAGTGGGCGGGAACAAAAGTTTCATTGTGCAGAGTCCAAAATGATGCTCACTATACAATTTTCATTCCTCACCAAAAGGAGCCACCACTTATTAGGGCAAAGTCTGGTTCTAGATCTGGGGCAAGAAGGAATAAGGTGAGCCGGAAGCTTTTTGTGGGGCAGAAATAAGAACATTTTCAAAGATCATGTCAAGAGGGACATTTTGAGCATCTTCGGGAGCACTGTGACAGGATGAAGATATATAAAATCTGAAAAACATAAGCTCGTACCGATGGGCACAAAGAGAAAAATTAATGTATTCCAAAATAAGGTGAAAAGGATGCAATGTATATTCAATCAGCCTTGCTCCTCAATTATTTTGGTATTTTTAGCTCATTCCTTTTATGACCAATAATAGAAAGCATTGAATATAAATATATGGGATTGAAAGGCATTTTGTACTTCAAGGGATTATTGTAAAAATCATTCAATATTATGACTTCCAGGTAGACCAAAACACATACTCAAAATTCAGCTAGACACACAGGTGAGGTTTTTTGAGTGTTGTCCTATGCGTGTGATAAATTCGAGATTCTATCGTATGCTAAGATCTTTAAAATTCTACATTTTTTGATCCTATCCAATTGACAATCTAGATTCTTAAGTTAACATTTTACAGACCTCCCTGAAATTTGATGAAGAAGAAAGGTCCCATCTTCAGATTCAGCTTCTACATGGAATTTAACATTCTCTTTGGTTATGAATATAGGTCACAAGTCATAGTAGCGTTAGCAACACTGTTGATGTGGTCAGCAGTAGAAATCACAGACACTTCCACATCACATTCCATTGTTTTATGTATCAGCCTGAAATATTCAACTTAAAAGGTGTTTATGTATTATTCTATGTTTTTATATTAACAGGTTGCTTTTAACGTATTAAAAATATTTCAGTGAAATCACAGACACTGTGAAAGGGAAAGAAATTGTTCAGTGTGAAGGAAAAACTGGGATCAGAAAAAAGACAAATGAAAGAAGGGAAAAAGATATATTTAGGTATATGTAGAACAGTTTGGATAATTGTATTGTCAATTTCTGCTGGTCTTTTGAAAGGAGTAGTTAATGCTTAAATTTTTTTTTTTCTTTTACTTATTTTTTTTTGTTCTTCTTTTGAATTTCTTATAACTTCTTTGTTATTCTTTTTTTTTTTCCCTAAACCAATCTTACACATTCATGTCCGGTAATTCAAACAACTAATTTGAAGATAGCATCATGTAATGCAGCAACTATTGTTGAATTCCTATTACTTTGTTTAGCGAAATGTTGTATTGTTTCTAATGCTGTTTTTTTTTTTCCTATCACTATTTTGTATTCTTTAACTTTTTTTTAAAAGAAACTTATCACCTAAGTGATAAATAATGACAAAGTCAGACTAAAAGCCTTGAGAAGAAAAAAAAATCCTTCATGCAGATTTATGAACTTGGGTAGCAGTTTTAAAACATTTGTAGTAATCCTAAAAACCCAAATCTAAGGAAGCCGGCTCTGTGGACACTGCTCTTGAATTTAGGACACCTTAGTGGCTTTCACACAGGACTAAGAATCCCTAGACTCCTCCCCTGGGTAGCAGTGCTCTCTGTCTTGTCTTTGAGACAGACTCAGTAAGCATGTGACTCAATAAATAGGGAAAAAAGGGACATTAGAGAGCTTTAGAAGTTAGAAGAATAAAAGCAGTAAACTTGCTCCTTGGTCTCTGGGATGGTGGTTGGTTTGCCCCAGAAGGGCCCTGTAAGGAGTCCACCTACCCTGGGTGTGCCAGGCTGAGGAAGCCCAGCCTATGGGGAGAACCCTTCGGGGGGAAGTCAGGTTCACAACAATTGAGTCCCTCCAACCAGAGGAGCAGACAGATGTAGTGGGGAGGGCGCTAGGTGACCCTAGCCCCTTAGCTGTTTGAACGTCCCTTTTCCCCTCTCTTCTCTTCCCTCACTTTTCCCTGGACACCCTGGTTCAGGGACCCACCATCTCCTCTATCCTTTGTCTGAATTCTTTAGCTGGACAATATGGAGCAAAAGAAAGTAATGTCTGTTTAACAGTACTGGGCTTTTGAGCACTTTATTAGGCAGCCATAGGTGACTAGGATAGAGTTTAGCATGAGCCAGAGGTGAACACAGTGAGTTTTCCAGCTCAAGTCTCTCTTAGTAGATGTCAGCTGAAACAAAGCAGCCACAAGATTCCTGAGAGCCTTCAATGTTCACACAGAACATGAGAGATGCACTCACTTCACTGCAGAGCCCAAGACTCCTTGGTGCTGGGCAGCAGTCCTGGATCACAACACTCTGTGGAGCCCATCCTGGCTATCTGGGGCTGTGCTGTTTGCTCAGCCCCAAACGCCTTTCTGTTCTAAGCTCATCTGCACTTGACATGGGACAGCAGGCCAATGCCAGACTTCACAGCAACACAGTACACCTTTGAGGCTTGAGGGAATGAGGCTCCTCTAACAATCCTTTTACTTTTTTTTTTTTCTTTTGTGGAACCGGGGATTGAACTCAGGTCCCTGAGCTTGCCAGGCAAGCGCTTATTCCACTGAGCCATCTCCCCAGCCCTTCCTCTAACAATCCTGAAGAAAGAAATGCACAGCTGGCAGAGGACAGAACCAACCATGGCCAACCATGGCTATGGTTCTGGCTCCTGGGTCTCTCTGGTCTTTGTGTGCATGTCTCATTGCTTGTCTACCTTTAGTGCAAGCCACACATCCTTGGACAGTAAGCCATATGTACTCTAAACATGCTGAGGACCAGAGGAATGTATAATACACAGATAGAAAAAAAAATATCAGATTTCTATTTTGCTGGCTTAAGTCTGGCTACCTGTTATATTAAGACAGTATCAAGCAGGAATACAATGTTGTTTTTACAAAGCTTATTGAAAGTTTTTCTTTTACCAGCAGGAGGTTTTTATACAGAATTTTTAAGGCATGTAACTGGAGGTTTGCTATGTAGGAATTATCTTGGAAGGAATGCATTGTGTTTATAAAAACATTCTCAAATTATTAAAATTCTAAGTGCAAACCATGTGAGCTAATATGTGTGTGTGTGTGTGTATATATATATATATATGTGTGTGTGTGTGTGTGTGTGTGTGTATGTTTTAATATTTTTAACCATTTACAAAAACAGTGGCAATGCTCAATTTAGGGTCAAAATAGTATACAAACAGATTTTTTTCTCCTTTAGTATGTACTATGAAGTGTGTATTGGTAGTCGCAGATCAGTGTGTTTTTTTTCTAGAGTCCAGTTCTAGCTTGATTATAAGGCAGAAGTGTTCAGCAGAAATTATTAAGGCCTCAGAGACCTTCTTTGTTGAACGCAGCCTTGAGAGACAGGTGGGAATGTAAATGGCTTTAAGTTCATCAATTAACTCTGTTAAACAAAACTTCCACCGGCCTGAAGGAAAGATGAGTGACTTCAGGGCCCAAGTCTTAAAGTCTGAGGCCACTGTGAAAGGGTGATACTGCTTCAGCATAAGGATGTGGTATTTGTGGGTGGAGATACTGGTGGTAGAATCCCAGAGTTCTCAGGGGCACTTCACAGGAAACAGGACAAAAATTGTAACTCAACTTCATTTCCTGTGACAGAAGTGGGGGTGTGTGGGGGAGTGACATGTGCTGAGGCAGGCCCAAGGAAGAAAGAAATCGAGGCTCTTACCTGTGAGGTAGGTGTTGTGTGAGGAGTTAATGAAGTAGTGAGATAGGGGCTGAGACATGTCTTCATTCAAATCCAGTTTCTCAGGTGAAACAACTCCATTTTCTTCTCCACTCAGGTAGCGCATAAACCCATCTACTGATATCTGTCCTGGAGGGAAGGAGAATGAAGAAGGATGTGAATGTGTTCTTCGCAAGGGTTGCTGGGATCCTGTGGTTCTAATTCTACCCTACCACCCTCTACTTGGAGAACTCTGGTACTATCCAACATGGATGACGACAGTCACAACTTCAAAATATGGAAAAGCTAGGCTAATACTTTTCACTACAAATATCTCCAAATGCTATCAATAATAAAGAAAATGTGTAGTTTCCTCATTCTCACTGACTTGTTCAGAGGATTTTGTAATTAAACACCACCATCTTTAAATATAAGAATGGCTATCAATTTTATGGATAGACCCCAAAATGTTACCTGTGGGAAATAGAACTTCAGGTGATTTTCTAAATTTTCTATTATGAATACATAGTACTTTAATCAAAAAAGTTATGCATATGTGATTTTATTATTTATAACAAAGTGAAAATGTTTTGAAATAATTATCTTTTTCTGGGGCTGGGGAGATGGCTCAGTGGAATAAGTGCTTCCCTGGCAAGCGCAAGGGCCTGAGTTTAATCCCTAGTTCCGCCAAAAAAAAAAAAAAAAAACATCAAACACATGTAATTATCTTTTTCTATAAAACAGAAAATGAAAATAATCACAAACGAGTTTTCCCTCAGAATAAGAAATTGAACATTCATATAAAAAGAGATCATGAAATTTTATACTTAGAATGATTTCACTTTGAATGGTATATACACCACTCTACTCACCTTTGTTCATCTCACATTCCATTTATACATAATAATTTGGCTGTAACTTTCCTGCTGTTTACTTTCCTGTAACATTCTTAAATATTAAGATAGTTATTTTGGCTTCGTTGAGGCAATTTGACAGGTAAAAATATACATACTTTAGGTGAACAGCTTCCTATTGTTTGTGATACGTATACTAAGACAATTCTGTAGCATAGTAATCCTTATAGATATACAGAGTGATCCATTCTAACTATTCTGGTTCATCATTAAAATTTGTTTCTTCAAATTTGTTTCTTCAACACCGCAGACCTGAAAGCAACAGCATAACCAGGTATGGTGGCTTATGCCTGTAATCCCAGCATTAGGGAGGCTGAGGCAGGAGGATTGCCTCAAATTTGAGGCAAGCCTGGATATACCTGGTGAGACTCTGTCTTTCGAAAGAAAACACCCCAAGCCAAAATAAACAACAACAGCTATCCTAACATATTTATGATTAGTAAAGACACTCCTAGTAAATATTGGAGGCCAACAATTCTTTTTTTCTGTTGATACAGTTTTGTGTTCACTGAAAATAGTATATGTACACTGAGAAAAAGTAGACAATGAAAAAAAGCAGAGAATAAAAAAATGGAACTTTCTGACCTGGTGGTATATGCGTACAAAAAAACTGTGTGAATAATAATTTATGAAGGGGCCAGAGAGATAGCTCAGTAGAATAAGTGCTTGCCTGGCAAGCACAAGGGCCTGAGTTCAATCCCCAGATCCACAAAAAAAAAAAATAATAATAATAATGATAATAATTTATGAAGATGCAGTCCTCTACACATATGATTTTCCATGTATATAATTGAGTAACATCATTTGTATTAACAGAATAGTACATTATGAGCATTTTCTGGTGAAAATTAATTCTGCACATACATATTCAACCATGACATAAAACACAATTATCTAAAATTTTCTATTATAAATGTAAAATTAGAACAAGACTATCATAGATTACTAAGGTTGTTTCTAAATTTTTCACTAGGAATAACTTATGTTACATTAAATACTATGATGGTGAAATGTTTTATTCTTAATTACCTCCCTGCAGGGCATTCTCAGGGACAGGACTGCTGATTTGAAGACTATACTCAACATTAAGGCTTTTAGTGTAACCTACGTTTCCTTTCTGTTAAAGTTCCTGCACTTGGGGTCTGGGGAGATGGCTCAGTAGAATAAGCACTTCCCTGGCAAGTACAAGGGCCTGAGTTCAATCCCCAGTTCCACCAAATAAATAAATAAAGTTCCTGCACTTGAATGTTCTACCAATGAGGTACAAGGGCTGGGGAGATGACTCAGTAGAATAAATTCTTCCCTCGTAAGCTCAAGGGCCTGGGTTCAATCCCCAGTTCCACCAAAAAATAAATAAACAAATAAATAAAACCAATGATGTACAAATGCACTCATTCATCCTATCCCTCTCCTAGCAAACTTGTAAGCAAAACTAAAAAGTAACATTTCTAAATTTTACTGCCTTGAACATTATTTTTCTTAAATATAAAGGGTACGTCATCTGGGAGTGGCAAAGCTAACACTAAATACAGATAGAAGCATAGCACAGAGAACCCAGCTCCCACCTCCAAAGAGCTCATAATCTAGTAGAAAATAAGGTCGTGCCACCCAGGAGCACCCGGCACACACAACACAGATGCACACCTGTCCGTGTCATCCCTGCAGCCTCTCCTGATGCTTCAACTCACTTTCTTGGGATGAGTACAGTGTCTCACAATAGAAAAGAAATTGTTTTGAAACTGGAAGATTGCAAAGATCAGTATAGGTTTTTATTCTTACTTTTTGATTAGATGAAATTACATGAATTTGACAAATTCCACCAACATAAAGCTGTGTGCCCTAACATGCCATCTTCTGGGGCTGGATTTGACCCCAGGACTGTCAATGAGTCACTGTTACGTCACACAGATAAATGACTTTTGGTCTGATCAGCAATTTCTTTTTTCTTTTTTTTTTTTTTTTGGTGGAACTGGGGATTGAACTCAGGCCCTTGTGCTTGCCAGGCAGGTGCTTATTCTACTGAGCCATCTCCCCGGCCCCAGATCAGCAACTTTTAAAAGCAATTAAAACAATAGGCAGAGATGACAAATAAATGTGAGACAGGTTTGTTTTTCTTTTTTCTTTTTTTCTTTTGGCTAGTTCAGGCTACCTTAAGGGCAGGTCTGGTGCAGCTTGTGAAGCTGCAGATCGAACCATGGTCCTATGCACCCAGCTGCATTTGCCCAAATGGTGCTTTAAATAACTGAGCTATCTGGCAAGCTCCCCCCTAAGTTTGAATGTTAGCATCAATACACACTTATTATCAGCATCTTCTAGGCACTGTATTAAGAAAAATGCTGGACTGTGCTTGCGATTATTGCCTGTCATGGGTACAAGACAGAAAAGAGAGAGCAGCTAAGTCACAGATGTCATCCTCAAGTGAAGATATCATCACTAAGGTCAAGGTATTGATATAAAAGTACATATCAAAAATGTTAACTTAATTCATTAATAAGGAGGCTAGGAAGATGACAAAGCCAGTTCAAAGGAGACTATGAGGTTACAAATATCCACACACATACTACATGCCATACCATGTACACACACACACATACACACACACACACACACTCATCTCTATCGATCGATCGATTGATCGATCGATCTACCTATTAGCTACCTATGCGCTGCAGAGTAAAACAAGGACTTCACACCTACTAAGCGAGCACTCTACCACCGAGCAACTATACCCTTCATACACGTATACTTCATTAACAAAAATTCAAAAACAGAAACCCGGGGCT